GAGTGGGGGCAGGTCACGTGAGGGGAAGGGAGGGTTTCTATGCAGAGGAGGGTGGTGGCGTTGTTTAGTCTGTTACGGGCACACCATAACCCATGCTACATGGACACTTCGTCCTGAGTAGCTAAATCTTTAACAACAACAAACAACGGTGGCGTTGCCCTCCCCTCTGGTGTTGCTGGGATGCTGGTTGTGGGTTCCCCTCTTGTCTCTGGGACTGTTGTGTTGGGGGTTGTGATTTCCTGGTTTACTCCTCTCTCCCTGCGCTTCCTCCTTGCCTCTGCGTGCCCTGGTGTACTCACCTAATTGTGCTTGCGGAGGTTGAGCTTTGGCTCTTTGGTCCCGCCTCTCAACCGTCAATCAACTGGTGTACAGATTCTTGAGCCTACTGGGCTCTATCATATCTACATTTGAAACTGTGTATGGAGTCAGCCTCCACCACATCACTTCCTAGTGCATTCCATTTACTAACTACTCTGACATTGAAAAAGTTCTTTCTAATGTCTTTGTGCCTCATTTGGGTACTCAGTTTCGCATCCCTCCAGTGTTGAATAGTTCATCCTTGTTTACCCGGTCGATTCCCCTGAGGATTTTGTAGGTTGTGATCATGTCCCCCCTTTCTCTTCTGTCTTCCAGTGTCGTAAGGTGCATTTCCCGCAGCCTTTCCTCAAAACTCATGCCTCTTAGTTCTGGGACTAGTCTAGTAGCATACCTTTGGACTTTTTCCAACTTCGTCTTGTGCTTGACAAGGTACGGGCTCCATGCTGGGGCCGCATACTCCAGGATTGGTCTTACATATGTGGTGTACAAGATTCTGAATGATTCCTTACACAGGTTCCTGAACGCCGTTCTGATTTTAACCAGCCTCGCATATGCCGCAGACGTTATTCTTTTTATGTGGGATTCAGGAGACAGGTTTGGTGTGATATCAACTCCTAGATCTTTCTCTCTGTTTCATTAAGTACTTCATCTCCTATTCTGTATCCTGTGTCTGGCCTCCTGTTTCCACTGCCTAGTTTCATTACTTTGCATTTACTCGGGTTGAACTTCAACAGCCATTTGTTGGACCATTCACTCAGTCTATCTAGGTCATCTTGTAGCCTCCTACTATCATCCTCTGTTTCAATCCTCCTCATAATTTTTGCATCGTCGGCAAACATTGAGAGGAACGAATCTATACCCTCTGGGAGATCATTTACTTATACCAGAAACAGTATAGGTCCAAGGACTGACCCCTGCGGGACTCCACTTGTAACGTCTCGCCAATCTGAAACCTCACCCCTCACACAGACTCGTTGTCTCCTGTTGCTTAGGTACTCCTCTATCCACCGGAGTACCTTCCCTTTCACTCCAGCCTGCATCTCCAACTTTCGCACTAGCCTCTTGTGTGGCACTGTATCAAAGGCTTTCTGACAATCCAAAAATATGCAGTCTGCCCACCCTTCTCTTTCTTGCCTTATTTTTGTTGCCTGGTCGTAGAATTCAAGTAACCCTGTGAGGCAGGACCTGCCGTCCCTGAACCCATGTTGATGCTGTGTTACAAAGTTCCTTCGCTCCAGATGCTCCACTAGTTTTTTTCGCACAATCTTCTCCATCAGCTTGCATGGTATGCAGGTTAGGGACACTGGCCTGTAGTTCAGTGCCTCCTGTCTATCCCCTTTCTTGTATACCGGGACTACGATAGCTGTTTTCGAAATATCTGGCAGTTCCACCTGTTGCCAGTGATTTGTTATACACTATGGAGAGTGGTAGGCACAGTTCTCTTGCTCCTTCCTTTAGAACCCAAGGGGAGATTCCATCTGGGCCTATAGTCTTTGTCACATCCAACTCTAGTAAACACTTCCTTACTTCCCCGCTGGTAATCTCAAACTCTTCCAGTGATTCCTGGTTAGCTATTCCCTCACTTACCTCTGGAATTTCTCCTTGCTCTAAGGTGTGTGTGTACATACATGCATGTGTTTGTGCGCAAGTTCCATTGTCATGTACATACGATATACTCAGCATATACATGTATACATATGCACACACACACGTATGTACACATTACGGTGCCCAGGCAATCAATATACTAGTTGCCTAGTATAAACTAGGCAACACCCACAAAAATGTCAGACACCCCAAACAAGGCAATTCGACTCTGACAGTTGACATCGAAATATACTTTCCTTTCTTAAATATATACATACACATATATAAGTGTATATATTCTGCCATTGTTTTGTTATGGAGCTTAATCAATTTTATTGTTTATTAGCATTTTTATTTACGTTTTTCACCCGGAAGGCTGTCTATCATATCGTTCCCTTTATAGCCCAATCCGAAAAAATGCGACTGTTTCACTCAACATGAAAATAACGAAACCAGGTCATTCATGTAGAGTTCTAGACGAGAACGATGTACTTTAAAACGTCAATATTGTGTCGCTTAAATCTGTTTTGACACGTTGAATTTGTTAACGGATTGGTGAACTTTCTTAAACAATTACGACGCATATTGGGTCATGATGAATTGACCGTTCATATACATTTTTCCTGGATGTCAAATGTTGTTCTCACGCCTTCAATCAACTCTTGTCGGTACAGAGGTGGTTAAGTAAGTTTCTTGCGAGGTCGGTGTTCGATCCCCAAGGGTTCAAATTTTTTTATAATTATTATTTTCTACCACAGACGTGGCCACACATTTACAATGCTAACCAGCATATATACCTTTTTCTTCTGTCCTCCATGGACAGGGTTACAGGTCTGTTAAACATATAGTTCAGTGATTTATTGAACAATCAACCAGAGAAGGGGATTGTAGTACTTTTAAAATGCTAAGGTAACCTACAGACATAAATACATAGATACACAGAGTTACGCCTCCCCTACATAAAGTGGTCCAGTGGTTGGCCAGCGATTCTTCCCTCAGTCCTCATATCCCAGATCTTTGTCTTCAAACTTTATTTTATTTATTTTATTTATGTCCTGTTGGCGTGGAGAGTACTGTGAACCCGAACTGGGATAATAGTAGATATTACCCTCCGACACTGTACATGCATGGTAGATATTACCCTCCGACACTGTACATGCATGGTAGATATTACCCTCCGACACTGTACATGCATGGTAGATATTACCCTCCGACACTGTACATGCATGGTAGATATTGCCCTCCGACACTGTACATGCATGGTAGATATTGCCCTCCGACACTGTACATGCATGGTAGATATTGCCCTCCGACACTGTACATGCATGGTAGATATTGCCCTCCGACACTGTACATGCATGGTAGATATTGCCCTCCGACACTGTACATGCATGGTAGATATTGCCCTCCGACACTGTACATGCATGGTAGATATTGCCCTCCGACACTGTACATGCATGGTGGATATTACCCTCCGACACTGTACATGCACGGTAGATATTGCCCTCCGACACTGTACATGCACGGTAGATATTACCCTCCGACACTGTACATGCATGGTAGATATTACCCTCCGACACTGTACATGCATGGTAGATATTGCCCTCCGACACTGTACATGCATGGTAGATATTGCCCTCCGACACTGTACATGCATGGTAGATATTGCCCTCCGACACTGTACATGCATGGTAGATATTGCCCTCCGACACTGTACATGCATGGTAGATATTGCCCTCCGACACTGTACATGCATGGTAGATATTGCCCTCCGACACTGTACATGCATGGTAGATATTACCCTCCGACACTGTACATGCATGGTAGATATTGCCCTCCGACACTGTACATGCATGGTAGATATTACCCTCCTCACAGTACATGTACGGTAGATATTACCCACCACACTCTATATGAAAGGTAGATATTACACTCCACACAGTATATGAACGGTAGATATTACCCTCCATACTGTATATGAACGGTAGATCAGTATATGAACGGTAGATATTACCCTGCACACTGCACGAGTCCACCACCCGCCACACTGCCCCAGTCCTCTATCCACCACAATTCACCACAACCTCGAAACCTGCACCACAAACAAATCCCACAGGAGGCATAACCTGTTTCCTACATGATAAGTAAAGAAGGAACAACCCTGTCTGCCTTAATATATCTTTTCGTGGTATGTCCTCTCCGTTCTTCTACCTGTCGCCCTCTACCTGTCGCCCTCTGTCTCTGGCCCTCTACCTGTCGCCCTCTGTCTGTGGCCCTCTGCTTCTAGCCCTCTGTCTCTGGCCCTCTGTCTCTGGCCCTGTGTCTCTGGCCCTCTGTCTCTGGTCCTCTGTCTCTGGCCCTCTGTGTCTGGCCCTCTGCCTGTGGCCCTCTGCTTCTAGCCCTCTGTCTCTGGCCCTCTGTCTCTGGCCCTGTGTCTCTGGCCCTCTGTCTCTGGTCCTCTGTCTCTGGCCCTCTGTGTCTGGCCCTTTGCCTGTGGCCCTCTGCTCCTGGTCCTCTGCCTGTGGCCCTCTGCCTGTGGCCCTCTGCCTGTGGCCCTCTGCCTGTGGCCCTCTGCCTGTGGCCCTCTGCCTGTGGCCCTCTGCCTGTGGCCCTCTGCCTCTGGCTCTCTTTCTCTGACCCTCTGTCTCTGGCCCTCTGTCTATGGCCCTCTGTGTCAAGCCCTCTGCCTCTGACCCTCTGTCTCTGGCCCTCTGTCTATGGCCCTCTGTGTCAAGCCCTCTGCCTCTGACCCTCTGTCTCTGGCCCTCTGTCTCTGGTCCTCTGCTTCTAGCCCTCTGTCTCTGGCCCTCTGTCTCTGGCCCTCTGTCTATGGCCCTCTGTGTCAAGCCCTCTGCCTCTGACCCTCTGTCTCTGGCCCTCTGTCTCTGGTCCTCTGCTTCTAGCCCTCTGTCTCTGGCCCTCTGTCTCTGGCCCTGTGTCTCTGGCCCTCTGTCTCTGGTCCTCTGTCTCTGGCCCTCTGTGTCTGGCCCTTTGCCTGTGGCCCTCTGCTCCTGGTCCTCTGCCTGTGGTCCTCTGCTTCTGGCCCTCTGCCTCTGACCCACTTTCTTTGGCACTCTGTCACTGGCCCTCTGTCTCTAGCCCTCTTTCTTTGGCCTTCTGTCTCTGGCCCTCTGCATCTGGCCCTTGGCCTCTGGCCCTCTTTCTTTGGCCTTCTGTCTCTGGCCCTCTGAGTCTGGCCCTCTGATTCTGACCCTCTGCCTCTGGCCCTCAGCCTCTGGACCTCTGCCTCTGGCTCTCTGTCTCTGGTCTTCTGTCTGTGGTCCTCTATCTCTGGCTCTTTGCCTCTGGCCCTCTGCCTCTGGCCCTCTTTCTGTAACAATCTTTCTTCGGTCCTCTGTCTCTGGTTCTCTGTCTCTGGCCCTGTGTCTCTGGCCCTCTGTCTCTGGCCCTCTGTCTCTGGCTTTCTGTCTCTGGACCTCTGTCTCTGGCTCTCTGCCTCTGGCCCTCTGCTTCTGGCTCTCTGCCTCTGGCCCTCTGTCTCTGGCTCTCGGTCTCTGGCCCTCTGTCTCTGTCCCTCTGTCTCTGGCCCTCTGTCTCTTGTTCTCTGTCTCTTGTTCTCTGTCTCTTGTCCTCTGTCTCTGACCCTCTTTCTTGGGCCCTCTATCTCTGGCCCTCTGCCTCTGGCCCTCTGCCTCTGGCCCTCTGCCTCTGGCCCTCTTTCTTTTGCTCTCTGTCTCTGGCCCTCTGTTTCTGGCCCTCTGTCTCTGTCCCTCTGTGTCTGGCCCTCTGCCTGTGGCCCTCTGCCTCTGGCCCTCTTTCTTTTGCTCTCTGTCTCTGGCCCTCTGCCTCTGGCTCTCTGTCTCTGTTCCGATGTCTCTGGTCCTCTGTCTCTGGCCCTCTGTCTCTGGTCCTCTGTCTCTGGCCCTCTGTCTCTGGCCCTGTGTCTCTGGCCCTCTGTCTCTGGTCCTGTGTCTCTGGCCCTCTGTCTCTGGCCCTCTGCCTCTGGTCATGTGTCTCTGGCTGTCTGTCTCTGGCCCTCTCTCTCTGGCCCTCTGCCTCTGGTCCTGTGTCTCTGGCCCTCTGCCTCTGGCTCTCTGTCTCTGTTCCGATGTCTCTGGTCCTCTGTCTCTGGCCCTCTGTCTCTGGTCCTCTGTCTCTGGTCCTCTGTCTCTGGCCCTCTGTCTCTGGTCCTCTGTCTCTGGCCCTCTGTCTCTGGTCCTGTGTCTCTAGTCCTCTGTCTCTGGCCCTCTGCCTCTGGTCCTGTGTCTCTGGCTCTGTCTCTGGCCCTCTGTCTCTGGCCCTCTGTATCTCGCCAGGGTCTCTGGTCCTCTGTCTCTGGTCCCTCAGTCTCTGGCAATCTGTCTCTGGCCTCTGTCTCTGGCCCTCTGCCTCTGGCCATTTGTCTCTGGCCTTCTGTCTCTGGCCCCTCTGTCTCTGGCCCTCTGCCTCTTTTCCTCTGCCTCGGGCCCTCTGCCTCCGGCTCTCTGCCTCTGGCCCTCTGCCTCTGGCCCCTCTCCCTCTGGCCCTCTGTCTCTGGCTGTCTGTCTTTGGCCCTCTGCGTTTGGCCCTCTGCCTCTGGCTCTCTGTCTCTGGCCTTCTGTCTCTGGCTCTCTGTCTCTGGCCCTCTGTCTCTGGTCCTCTGTCTCTGGTCCTCTGCCTCTGGCCCTCTGCCTCTGGGCCTCTGCCTCTGGCCCCTCTGCCTCTGGCCCTCTGTCTCTGGCTGTCTGTCTCTGGCCCTCTCTCTCTGGCCCTCTGCCTCTGGCACTGTGCCTCTGGTCCTCTGCCTCTGATCCTCTGTCTCTGGCCCTCTGCCTCTGGCACTGTGCCTCTGGTCCTCTGCCTCTGGTCCTCTGTCTCTGGCCCTCTGCCTCTGGCACTGTGCCTCTGGTCCTCTGCCTCTGGTCCTCTGTCTCTGGCCCTCTGCCTCTGGCACTGTGCCTCTGGTCCCCTGCCTCTGGTCCTCTGTCTCTGGCCCTCTGCCTCTGGCACTGTGCCTCTGGTCCTCTGCCTCTGGTCCTCTGTCTCTGGCCCTCTGTCTCTGGCCCTCTGCCTCTGGCCCTCTCTCTCTGGCCCTCTGCCTCTGGCACTGTGCCTCTGGTCCTCTGCCTCTGATCCTCTGTCTCTGGCCCTCTGTCTCTGGCCCTCTCTCTCTGGCCCTCTGCCTCTGGCACTGTGCCTCTGGTCCTCTGCCTCTGATCCTCTGTCTCTGGCCCTCTGCCTCTGGCACTGTGCCTCTGGTCCTCTGCCTCTGGTCCTCTGTCTCTGGCCCTCTGCCTCTGGCACTGTGCCTCTGGTCCCCTGCCTCTGGTCCTCTGTCTCTGGCCCTCTGCCTCTGGCACTGTGCCTCTTGTCCTCTGCCTCTGGTCCTCTGCCTCTGGCCCTCTGTCTCTGGCCCTCTGCCTCTGGCCCTGTCATCGCCTTGTTACTGGAGGCTATGGGATACACACCTCAGTGTTGCAGCGTCCAAACTCTTCCCTGTGTTTCAGTGTGTAGTTGAAATATCTGAAAAGTTCCCAACGAACACAAGAACCGTTACTCTGGACGAGTAAATAGGAACAGAAAAAGCGTGACATAAGAAGAGTAACTAGCCACAAAAGCCCTGTAACACACATACACTGTTTAC